GCTGCTGTTCAGGAAGAAAAGCAAATACAGCTTTAGAACCCCAGCACAACTGAGCTCTGTGCTCACCAGTCCTTTAATGTATGCCAAATGGTCTTTTTGGTTCAAAATCATTTCATGCAATGCTAAGCAGTGCTCTCGTTGTTGCTTTTGCTGACTTGCAGTAAACCAGCAGGATGCCAGGCTGCCACCATCAGAACATCTGCTTTATCAGAAAAGTATTTCAGCGGTCCTTGCCTTGTAACAAATGATGCGACCCTGGAAGGCAGGCAGCAGCACCCCTGCAGGCAAACAGCTTGCAAAAGGTCAAAAATGCCTGGAGCCTTGGGAGCAGCAGCATCATTTCTGTCACCTCGCCCTATCGAGGGTCTTAGAGCTGTAGTAAGGGAAAAGATACATCACTGAAGCTCTGAAGATGGATCCCGGTTGATGGACTGGGAGGTTCCTACCAACGAAGAATACGAGAAGAGAGGGAAGAGAGGAAAGCAGAGGAGAGGAGAATCCAGCTGTGAAGCTTTTTACCCTGCCATGGAAAACAGAGCTACTCCTGGGAGCGCCACTTAGTTTCCCTCAGTCCGAATGACCTGGGGCAGCAGAATGTGCCATATAAACTATTTTGGTTATGAAACAGGTTACAGAGTGCTTATACAAACAACTTCGCTAGTACACAGATACTTGTCCATTGTCCTAATTTACAGCTTTTTTCCAAAACAGTGCCTCATCCTCTGACGTTTTTTTAAGGAGTTACTCATTTTTGTTTGTCTTTTTGACTCTGCATTTCTCCTAAGACTTTTATAAAACCCCACCGCTTTTTGTAATCTTTCTGTTCCATTCACAATGGAACGTCAATAAAAACCCTAATGAAGTAAAACAGTGAAAAAAACATTTCAGTTTTACCAACAATGTAAACAGCATCAGGAAGATTTTGGATCCTGTTTATCCACCTGTGAAGCTCGTAGTCAGTGGATGCTCTGTTGCTACAGTTAGAGAAAGGTCTTGCTCTTGTTGTTATTGTTATTGCCTTTTGAAGTGAAATGACAGTGGTACTCTTTTGAATGGTAGCATTTTACAGCAATTTAACTTCCTGCCTGAAGAAGCAAATTTTCATGACAATTATCTGGAAAGCACAATCCCATACACACACAGTTTATATATATATATATACACACACACATACACACACCGGCATTTTCAGTACAGGTGTGATGTACAGCATACCAAAGGCCATAGGGATGAACAGTAAATTAGTTGGCAACATTATTTTCTACAGTAATTTCCTAGAAAACGAACCATTTCCTAGAAAAGCCTACCAACCTCTTCTGTGATGAACAGTGCAGCTGATCTCTACTTTCATTCTCACTCACCTTCCACGAAAGCATCACTGAGGACCTACTGAAGAATGCTGGGTAATTCTGGCATTATTGGATTTTTTTGTTATTTATTTATTAGACATGGGAGCTGTTATCAGCAAGCAACCAGGTGAGTCCAATCAGATAAAGCATTATCTGATTCCTGTGCTGTAAGTCAGATTTTAATAGAGAAAAGATCTGTATCCCTTTGGGAGTGGAAAGAATATGTTTATAATGTGTTCTGAATGTGTGTTGCACAATAGCAAGTATGGATAAAAATATTTTCTCTAATCAATTTCCCACTTTCTTTTCCAAGTTCTTTCACCCACAAAATGAGAACTAAAATAAATGAAAGTTCTGTTTGTGCCAAGTGCTGGCAAATAACTAAGGTAAGATAAGCATGCATAAAAGCATGCACACACATTACACCTTCACACAGACACACAAAAAATACTGAATTCTACAATATTAAGAATATAATCATGACATCATTGTTTCCCTGCCGGCAGAATGGTTTACAGAGTTCAGGTTTATCTAATTCAGCCATTGAAACGAGACCTTTGGTAGCCTGCTCTCAACCCCAGTATAGCTTCTGTCTTGGGTATTTATCCTTGACTTTTTCTGTTCAGAGGCTATGAAGTCTCACGACAGGACCTGCAGATTAGACACAGATAACATTTGACTATCTCTTAAAGGTTTTACAAATTTTAATCAGCGGAGTAATCTAGATATGCTCAGACGGACGTCAGCATTAAACATTAAAAACCTTGATGCAAAGCTTGCTCTTTCTTGTACAGCAGTGTTACGTGAATTTTGAGTTGCTGGAAATTATTATTTGCAAAAATGAGGGCCTCCCCTCTCACCTAATGCATCGTTTTTGACTGTTCAGACAGAACTGAAATTCTGGAATTAGTTTATCACTAGACACTTGAAACATATTTTGAGGGCTCAAAATTACTTTTTAAAATCAAACTTGTTAGGTCATATTCAATTAATTCCATAACAAACCAGAGAAGAAGGCCTTTCATATCATGTTAGGCTTAAAAATGCCATTTCTTTCATGGTTTACACATGAAAATGAATGTATAACCAAACCATTTCATTGAGGATTGCAAAGGTGTGTGCTCAGAGTGCCATTAACGAATGAACAGCAAACACTCTGCCACTGCCAGCCATCAGCAGCAATGCTGACATCCATATCACACTTCAGTATCTTTCATTCCCTTTTTTCCCAGGTGAGCCTCTGCCTCTCCATCACAATTTACAGGAGGACGGACATTTTTAGAAGTAACCACAAAACTACAGGCAGCACAGAAGTCATGAACATAACGAAAGCTAATATCAAACTTGGGTTATCTGAATTGAGGCTTATTTATTAGGGAAAAAAACCCAACCAAGTCACCACTAACCACATCCTGTATTTAAGATATTGGTTTCCCTTTTGGGAGATGCAACTACACTTTATCAGTATCTGAACAGTAACCTGCTTCAAAATTTGTATTTGCATGAGTAAAGGTTAGCTCTAATCACCCGGGCACAAGAGCAGTTTCAGGTTGTGAAGACTTTGGTGTGTCTGACAGATTAAATGTCTTCAAGGAAGACCAGATCATTTTTGGTTTTATGTATCTGTGATGACAATGCAGTGCAATTACTGAAGGGGCTAAAACCTGTGAGCAAGATGAATGCTGAGACTGAAAGCGTAGCCTGCAACGGGGTGCAGTGTACACATCACTAAGGAAAACTCTGTCAAGGTCTGAGATTTCCTCTTGGACACAGACAGCAACAAGGACTGGGAGAAGCAGAGGTGGTGGCGTCTTGCTAACATGAAACAACTAGTAAACAACCACTTCAGTACATTTTGCCTCCCAGAAAAAAAAAAAAAAAAAAAAAAAAAAAGACTGAATTAAGCGCAACAACAATCCCTGTAGGTCCATATCTAGCTATCCCTCTAAATAACCTGAAGAAGTTTACTACAGCACAACTAGAATGGTGAACATCAAAGAAACTGATATCTCAACCCAATCCTAGACACAAACTTCCTATTTGCTACCATTGCACCGGCACAGCTAGACTAGTTTCCCCTTTCTCCTTAGCTTCAGTAGATCAGGCAATCATAATTTAGTAATAACAAAGCCATGTCATTTGTGGGAGCAGACAGATCATATTTACACTTACCATCTTTCTAGTGAGTACCTTGTAAATCTGATGAAATTTATGTCATTAAACTCAAAAATATCCTGATGCATCTGAAAACTAACTCTTTTTTAAATGGATAATCAAAACCACTAGAAAGGACTGCAACCCTACAGCATCTACCACATGTTGGTCCACACAGTAGCCTTTTGCAAAGCGACATACGCTTTAGAGATGCTCCCTTCACTAACACGAGGCTGGTTTGAGCTTCCTTCACCTCCCTCTGACAGGTAGAACATTAATGGAGAAACGAGTAGTCCCTCAGTGCAACAGGCCACAGAATTTATTGCACAACGGGAGATAAGCAGATGAAGATTCAGTACTTTACTTGTCAACTGTACTTACCAATACAAATGGAAATATTTGACTCTTTCAAATTAAAAGAACATCCCTTACACAATACATTCAGCTCTTACAATCCAGTTTAAAAGGATGAAAACATCACTAGCCCGACAGCTCTTCACCTGGGAAGTCTCTCATGTCCTGAAATTAATGCCATGTGCACATCTTTTCTCATTAATGAGCTCCTAATGCCTACCACCTCCTTAACTGCACATGCTCATATCTTCAGTGGAACGAGACACTCCCTGGACTTTTACCCTTTAGGGGTAATCCCTTAGGATTTTTTCCTTTAGGATTTTTACCCTACCATTCGGTGATTCTGTATGTGCTGCTGGCTGGCACAGTGGGTCAGCCTCAGATTAATTATTAGCCAACGAAGGCGCTGCACTGCAAACTGTGAGGACCACGTGCCCTTTCTACACGGGATGGCTCTCAAGTCTGGCCATACAAATCAGACTGTAAGACCAGAGCCCCTCAATTACTGCTTCGCTTCCCTTAGGTTTTAATGAATCTTTATCTAAAATATCCTGCTATTTTCCTGCGTAAATACAACCTGAATGACTCATTGTGGGAAGAGGGGGCAGAAGGATGAAGATTCTTTCCCTTTTGGGGGGTCAAGAAATCTCCTTTCTCTACAGATAAATGTCCCTGTTCTAGATCAAATGCACCTTTTGCCACTTCAAAATAAGAAAAAGATCTGTTCATTCAGAGCTGACAAACAGACAATATACGTGAAGCATTTGAGGGGCAGTGAGGAAGCTTTAATAATCTGTATCACATTATTATTTGTCTGTTGTAACTTTATGGCTTATAACCAGAAGTTTAGGCACTCGCAGCTTCCCCTCCCTGGAGGGCAATGTATCAAGATGGTAATGTATCATGACCTCAACAAATGCTCTATTTAAACAGCACAACGACTCCCAAATGGAAAACACGTTTCTGCCTGCGATATCTCAGGTTTAAATGTATTTCTCTTTCTTTTTTTTAAACTTCATTTCTAGGAAAAAGTGGCCTGGCAGGGATTCAATGCCACATTCTGCCCTTCAGCACTGGTGAGGCTGGTGTAAATGTGCGGTTAGGATAACGTCAAACCCGCTGTCCCGGAGGCATCTGACTTACTGAGGTTCCACCTGAGCCCCGTCGTGGTCACGCTCTCGCAGGAGTTCCCGATGGGGATGAGGCCACACCAGTCACCTTCCAGTCCCGTGTCCACACGCAGCTTGTGCTTGCCCTGCAAGAGAGATGGGCCGCTGGAGTCAGTGATCGCCAGGGACCCAAATGGCATTTGCCAACAGACCTTGCAAATAAAAAAGAAAGTACTTAGATGGAGACAGGTCCAGAACGTCCCCCAAAGGCTGAGGAATATTTGGCTGTAGGAATTCAGGTCATTGACATTTAGAGGGAGGAGAGATGCGTGCTTAGGTTCCACACCACAGGGCTTTCAAAGAGTTTGTTTCTGCGCTTTTCTAAGCAGAATCTGGCTTTGCTCATTCTTCCCTGGCATTTTTTGAAGAGGCACTTCTGTCAAAGATAGGCTCTTTATTCCTGTGAAATGAAGGTGTCCTGACCCATTCCTTCATTTTTATTCATCACCTAAACCGCTATGTTTCACTTCCTAAACAATCCTAGTCAAAGCACCGCTCAAACTCCTTCACTATTTTGATGCCATCTGTAAAATTCCATGTACTTCTCCAGACACGTACTCTTCCCAGAAGGAAGAATACCTGCAGAAACTTCACTAGGTGCTAGAGAAATTAAACTAAATATTTAGAGTACCATGCTTACACTAAGTAAGAACAGCAAAGTGAAATTAAAACACAATTTTTGCATATCTAAGATTAATTTATCTTGTAACTATCAGTTCATGGAATGCAGGAGAAGCAGCAGCTATTGACGATGACGGATTTGTGACCAAGCTCTTAATTGGTACTTACAGACCCTGTGTGAACTTCTTGCCAGGTATGAACATATGAACAGTTGCAAGGAAGAGTAGATACTGCAAATCTTTTACAGAATAAAATTTAAAAAACCAAAAAGCTGAATGTTAGAATTCTGGCACAACCTGTGCTCTGAGTAACTAAGAAAGCGTTTACAAAAACTAGCCACAAGAAAACAGGAAATGCAAAACAGTGACAAGATCAGGGGAGAAATCATCCTCTGGTCTCTTCTAACAACTTATTCTTTCAAACAAACATGGGCTTCATCTAGGAGAAGGTTAGGATTCTTTGAAATGGAGGTTTCTTCGGGGTTTAATGCTCTTGAGGATGCACAGGCAAGTTAAACCCTTGAGTATGTCTTTTACACACAAATTCTTCATCACGACAAATAAAATCGGACAGGCCTATTTATGAATCTACCAGAATAAAAGAACTCTCTGAAACCCAATGAGTATTCAGTGAGTACTTTGTTAAGCAAGAAACCAAGGTCTTCTACCAAAAGAAAAAAGAACAGTTGAACCATAAAACTCACATAAATGTCCCAAGCAGCAAAAGTACTTTCTCACAAATTTTCTTTAGCTGAATGTATTTAACCTTTTTATTATGTCTTCTGTCCTGTCCTGTCATATGCTCATTCCAAATGCCCTTGCAAATATAAAGTTACTAGTTAGAAAGTCAAAACTGGAGGCAAAGTATCTTATTGCTGAGATGTTGAAGTCTGAGGCATTCGACTGCTTCTCCTGTTAATGCCAAATGCATTATGAAGAAACAACTTCAATACATGTCATGCTCTCAGTTAACAAATGAACCTTGGAAAAGCTGTCAATTAGGGAGTATCAGATTGCATAGCTTAAGCCTGTTTGATTGTTTGCAGAGCAACAAGAAAACCAATCCAATATCATCTGTCTTCTCAGGGTGTCCAGCTTCATGTGGCAATGAGCCATGTACTTCAATAGTGGTTGGGAACGCTTGCCTGCCAGATTCAGAGGTGTAACAAATTCAGGATTGATAACCTTTTAGCTATGCAATACGCCATGCTACTTCTCTCTCGCAGTACAGCGGGATGAGGAGAGGGAGAACAGAGGTACAAGTACAAGCACAAGCTCTGTCATTAGGCGACTGCAGATATTGCCTATAATGAAACCGATGATGGATAGAACGAGGGGTGGGACTGTCTGTTCCCCATGAACGTACATATTGCTGCTCAGAGCTAACTGGGGAAAGGAGCAAACTCACTATGTTTTCATATTCCTTTACTAATTGATAAAAGAGAGGTAAATGTAATCAGGTTCTTTGTTGGGCCAGTTAAGTCCAGCATTCTCACATACTCTGCCTAACTACTACTGGGTTTCCACATCCTACTTTACAACCTTCTGGCCCAGCTTACAGATAGGAATTCAATTCAATAGACATTTATGCAGAAAGCTGTCTTTCTGTGCTCATGAAATAAATCTTTAAAATAAAACATGGCGTTACCAGAGACTCGCCAATATCCAGGATTTTATCAGGAGTCTTTCAATGTCTGATACTTCCCTAAAATCCCAGTTCACACATCTCGGTGATTATGTGAGAATTTTGACTTTCTTCCCTAAAAGGACAATTTCTAGCCCTCAGTTGTTAAGAGAAATTTCAAAGTAGAAGCCCAAAGGGCTAAACCCAAAGCGGCAAGCAAACAGGAATTGAAATATTAAAATGCAAATTATTTTTTAAAAAAACACTCAACTGTTAAGCCAAACTCATGGCTTAGGGATTGGTTCACTTATATCACACAAGACAGTTTTTAAGACTTTTCTTTAAATAAATCAATAAGGGATCTTAGTATTCTTTGGCACAGTAGGGACAGAAAAGGGAGATGATCATTGGGAAAAAACAACCAAACAAAAAACTCCAAATAACCCACTCATTTTTACCAAAAAGATTAATCAGCCAATGCATTTGTACAGTGAGGCTTTAAAGCAAAAGCACTGTGTGTCTGCCATGGGTCAAATTAGGTGCCCAAGCTTATCTTCAAATTTGCAAGTACAGATCTTTCAACCAAGCAAGATGGAACTGCTATTTGCAGGAGGAAGGGAGGATCAGAGCTTGTAATTTTCAAATACAAGTAATAATTTGTTCTATTTAAGTCTCTGTGATTAAAGGAACAATTATATAGTGGCACTTAGAATATGAAACTGTTTTCAGTTTCTGCAGAACTCAAAGTTCCAAAATTAGGTTTAAAAAGAAAACCAAAGTTTGACTAAATGAATTCCTTCTTAAGTTTTTTTGCTTCTGTGGGAGGTAACTGAAATATCTTCACATTTAACTGAAGAATCAAATATTACCATGTTTGAATGATACCAGTGATAAAATAATAGCAAATAATACAGCTGCATTGATTTTTATCTTATTAAGTCTGTTTAGAAAAACATTGATCAATCTTCAGCATTGATTTTTTTTTCTTCATTTTGTCTCTGAAGCTGGGAAATAAGATCAATTTCTAAGTTCAGCAGTACGAAGAAAATGTCAGAAGATATTTTTAAGAATGCTTCATCCATATAGGTTAAACTTTTCCTTTCAATTCTAATGTCTTGTGTTATAAGAAAGCATTTAAGCAACAGTGGTGAAATATACACCCACTCCCATGCTGGTTTTGCTGAGGAAAGACCTCAAGACAGTTATTCTCTGTCACATCTCCTAACTCCAATGAATAAAAGTCTGATTGCCAGGAACTCATATACCTAACCCTATTCACGGTCCTAAGATGCTAAACTCATTAGTCGAAAATTTGCAAGCTGAAAAGCATATGAACAGTATCAAGATAAAAGTTGATAGCTTCTATGCATGCACAGATACCCCCCGGCACTTCATAAAAATGTAGAGAAAATTACTTCTTCACGTGCTTTCCAGATCAACTTGAATAAATATATTGCAATAAATGTATACTCTAAAACAGATATTAAGCAACAAAATGTTATGAAAGGCAGAGAGAATGGGGACTGATCTTCAGTACTGCATTCTGAAGTTATCTGAAGGAGGGAAACCTGGAACCTGGCAGGTTGAAACTGGACACAGAGGAGAGGCGTGATGCCAGTTAACAAGATGCTGGGGAATAAAGAATTAAAATTAACCTTTAAAAACAAGTGAAGATAGATACAATAAACAGATCTTGGAAACTGCTGAAGGACTAGGACACGTGAAAGGTAATGGGGAAGGAAGAGGATTGAGTTAGAGGATTAGAGGACAAAGCAACCTTATTTTAATTTTCAGACTTCCCTGGTAGTTTGTCCAGTATAAATAACTCTACTGAATAACTTAACTCCTAGAAGTCGCTGATTCTCTGACTGGTATACTTTCACCTGCACTTGTTGTGACATCTGGGACTACAGAGTAACAAGATTTCTGAAGACCTGGCCAACTGCTCTATGATACCTCCTCCACTAGCTAGATCTTGTTTTCCATAATCTTTCGATAAAACATCTTGTATCAGCTTTATTTCAATGCTTACTCCATAGATGGCAGCACACGCTTGAAAACAACAGCAGCAAAAAACTAAATACAGATGTCACAGCGTTACTCAGGGAAAAAGCAAAAACCACAATCTGTTTTAGTACATAAACATCTGTGTGCAAAAAATGGTATATAGATAAAAGACTCAGGGAATGGGTGGAAATCAACACGAGCACCAAAGACTGCAGCAGAGAGGAGGAGGAAAGAAACAAGGATGAAACTAAGCTTAGATTATTTATACTTAAAATCAAATATTGTGATTTGCAATAAAGTAAAAACAAAGTTCCAGAAATATTTCTACTGATCATTAGTTGTGTAAGAGCTTGACTTGAAAATAATAAAAGCTTTTAGGCTGAGATTCTGAGTGTGATAAATACAGCCAATTTTTCTAAAAGGATGTATTTAAGAAGTTATTTTCTTATAACCTTAAAATATGATCAATTGTATTTTCACCCAGATATACATAGAACCAAGTTGCTACTACATGAATGCTACTCACGGAACGTTATTTAAGCCAATAAGTCTTTTTGTTGCTGTTGAAGACAAAAGTATCCACAGCTCCAGTGAAAACTCGGAAGTCTAAAGGCTCTTACGTATCATATCAATGACTGCTTAAACTCATATGGAAAAACCAGCAAATGTATTGTACTTCAAAATAATATTAAAAAATGTTGGACCCAACCCTGCTGATCCTTTCTATCCAGCGTTAGTAGCGCTCCTGCACTGAAATGGACACGCTTCAGCTTATCAGTTATTTGCAAGACAGAGGCCCAGCAAGCCTACACTTCAAGAGGAGCACTTCATAAAA